CTGTGGACTTCAACTCCCAGAGTTCCTCAGCCAGCAAAGTTGGCTGAGGAACTCTGGGAGTTGAAGTCCACAGGTCTTAAAGTTGCCAAGGTTGGAGACCACTGCTGTAAAGGAACCATCTGGCAGGTAAATGTGGCAGGGCAAAGGGGACAGTTTAAAACAAGCCAGTGATCAAGGCAATGAACTGTACGTCCCCCACCACTATTTTCTGCCGTGGTCTGAGAAAGGCTGGAAGCAATGCACCAAATCCTATTCCAGTTAGTCTGTCTAGAAAATTACTGTAAAAGGTTGAAAGATTCTCAGTTGAAAGCACTGAGACCTCCAACAGGGGCATGTTTCTTTGTGTAAAATCCCTACTAGGTGTGAGTGATGTTTTTCTGCCAGTTAGTGCTGAAATCACCAATCTTCCTGGTGGGCCCGTCAGGATTTTGGAGAGTGGAGCAGCTGTCAAAGAGAGCAGGTCTATCTATCTATTCACATGGCCAGTCATGAACACCATTTCCAAAAGGCCAAGCAGGAAGCTTAAAGAATAAAAGCATAGCCATAAGAACATAACTCAACAGCCAACCATTTTATTACAAAAATTACCTGTTGGCTAATCAAGATTGAAGGGCCTCTACATTATGAAGGATACAGAAACCGGATTGGTTTCAGTAAGATCACTTTAGGTTTATAGTATGGGGAAGATGGGGTTTGACAGTTCCAGACCACTTCAGCTGTGGAGCGTGGATCAACCCTAATCTTTCTTTCTGTGATAAAGAAATTGCATCTTACAGGGCATTGAGACGACAGCAGTGGGGTGAAAACGTTGGCTAATCTTTGAATGCCTCTAAGATAAGAGCATGCTAGAGAGATAATAAAGGCTGGACCTGTGATGGCAAACCTATAGCACGCATGCCCCAGGTGGCACTCAGAGCCCTCTCTGTAGGCACACGAGCCATCGCCCCAGCTCAGCTGCGCATGCGTGTGCACCGCCCGCCGGCCAGATGGTTTTTGGGTCTCTGCATGGGGGCAGGGCCCATGCGGGTGTCACAGGTGCATGCGTGGGGTGCATGCATGGGGGTGGCACAAGCAGGCGCAGGGGATGGGTGAGTGCATGGGGTCGTACCCGCACATTCAGGGGGTGGGGCGCACATGGGCATGCACGCATGCGTGGGGGTGGGGTGCACAGGCATTGCATTATGGTTGCACGCGGAGATACATGTTGTCGGCACGTGACGACAAAAAGGTTAACCCTCTCTGGGCTAGACTCTCACCTCATTTCATTAGATGTAAAATGGCACAAGTTGAGAAATCAAGCTGCTTGTTAAAGTGCTCTTCTTCATCCTGTTCTTTTCCCCCCCTTGTGATATCATTTTCTCGAAGACGAGTTCCAGAATTTTATTACGCTGATAAGTCTTAATCCTCTAAATGTGCCTCTCTTCCAGGATGCTTCCTGCACCACTGAAAGATGCTGTTGAAGTTGCAACATGGAGAAGATGTTACAACATGCAGGAAGTTAATTCTGCACTCAGTAAGATCCAGCTGGTGGGATATTCCCAGAAAATTGTGAGTTTCTCTTTTTTTTTAAAAAAGGATTTGGGGAGGAAATCTGTAGCTGTCTTCTTTCCTTCTGTATTCATTTTATCATAGGATAATTATCTATTGTCTGTATTAAAATCTGAATGAAATAAAAATCTGTCATGTCCACAGATTCCTTCTTCCTGCCCAAAGCTTCCAGGTTTATCTGGGAAGCAATTCCACATAAGCCTTCTTAGCTAAGCCTGGTGTGTCCCTGTGGATTCCAGCCATAGATGTTCTATTTGTATAGTCTTTTAAAAGAACTTTGGTTATAATTTTTTGCTGGTGCTTTTCACATTTGTGTTTGTTTTTCTGTGTTCCTTTCAAAAAAATAATTTCCATGTCACTGTCTTAAATCTAAACATTGAATTGTCTATGGAGATTCTCAGTCATCCAGGTCATGGTTGTCCCAAATATGCTTTTTTCAAGAGGCAACTGGACTTTCTGGTTTTTTTTCAAGACATTTCGCTTCTCATCCAAGAAGCTTCTTCAGTTCTGACTGGAAGGTGGGGAATGGAAGTCTACAACACAGTCCTTTTAACAGTTCCAAGAAGACTCCACACCCATTTGCACTACTTGAGTGACTCTAAGGACTCCAGGTGTGTCAGAATTTGTTGCAGAAAAAATCAAATCCAGAAAGCACACACAGATAACTGATTCAGCTGGATTCATTAACTTCTTTATATACATAATAACAGATGAAAAATGTAGAATACCAACAAGTGGTTCTTCAGATTCAGAGCAGAGCAGCAGACCAGTTCTTATCACAGACTAGTTTCAGTTTCAATTCTCCACACAGCACACAGAGCTGCAGGGCTAAAGCACGCCCAATCTGTTTCAGCTCCCATTGGCTGATTGGTTGCTATTCCTATTCATTGGCTGACCTTGTTACCATATCTCTGCTAGTCATGAATATTCTGACAAGGTGGCCTCAGCGACTCCCTAAAAGAATGTAAATGGCCAGCTGTCTGCAAGAGGTATAAATGCTTCTATTCTCTGAGCTGAAGAAGCTTCTTGGGTGAGAAGCAAAATTTCTTCAAAGAAAAACCAGAAAGTCCTTTGGGATAAACATTGAATTAATTGTAGAAAGAAGGAGAAAACAGCTTTAAATACAGTCAATTATATAGGAAAGAAGATTTAAGTCCAAAATTCTGTTCTCACTTCACCCCAATCAAAATTTCTGGGGAAACCAGAAGCAGATAATAGTTCCTAAGCATTCTCCAGTTCTTGGTTATTCACCATTTGTTTCCGTGGATGCATTGCCTTCAAACATGGAGATCAGCTCAGTGAACTAAGACTACATCTCCCCATAAGAACAGCACATGTGGAGATTTATTTTCTGGGATACTTTCATTCCGAATTGAATTGTTCTCTTGTCCCTTCCTCCTACAGGAGCTTTTTGGTGCAGTACAAGTCTCCCCTCTCAGTTCTGGTTATGCCCTGGGCAGCTCCAATTGGATCATCCAGTCACATTATGAGAAGGTTTCCTATGTCTCAGGATCCTCACTCCTTACAACACATCCACAGGTACCACATCTTTGCAGAGTTTGGTGGTGACATTTCCCCTTTTTCATTGATTGGATTTAAATAGTAGGCGTATTTATTTTTTTATTAGTTTGTCAAACAAATAAAAGATAAAGTATAAGTATGAACATGGACAAAGGAAATGAATACAAATAAATGGGGTTGTTAGGACTGGGATGGTAGGCATGCTGGTGCACTTCTGCACGCCCCCATTAGGGACCTCTTAGGAATGGAGGGAGGTCCACAGTAGACAGTTTAAGGTTGAAGCTGTGGGGGTTTGAGGCTGTAACAACGGAGTCAGGTAGAGCAGTGGTCTTCAACCTTGGCAACTTTAAGACTTGTGGACTTCAACTCCCAGAGTTCCTCAGCCAGCTGGCTGAGGGACTCTGGAAGTTGAAGTCCACAAGTCTTAAAGTTGCCAAGGTTGGAGAGCACTGAGGTAGAGCATTCCAGGCATTGACCACTCTGTTGCTGAAGTCATATTTTCTGCAACCATGTTTGGAGCGATTTACCTTGAGTTTGCATTGATTGTTGTATTGATTGTTCCCCTATTTTCCTACCCATATGGGGCAATAGTCTACATGGATTTAAAAAGCTCAGCATGCTTGGGGTTGACATTGCTGCAAGGATTCTAGCCCCATTCTTTGATTCCTTCCATTTCATCATTGATTATTGGGGATACCTATCTGGAGATTGGAGGAAGATGTCATGAGTTCCAGAGTTCTTACCTGAATACAGTACTACTGTCTGTAAACATACCTGGTTCTGTCATCACCTAAACCTACTTTTGGCACCAACCCAGTTTAGCAGCCAAGGCTCCATCATACTCCTTGACACCTTCCTGCCCCACCTGATTTTTATAATAATATATTTAAAAAATACTGTATTTTATTTTATTTTACAAAGAAAGCTGTTATAAAGGAGAGTGGTGGGTTCCATATCCTTATTTTCTTGGGTGTAGCCCTGGATTCCATCCATTTCATTTTTAACCCTGACTGTAGCCCCTTGTTTTGTTCAATCAGGCTAAGAGCCTATACAAGTGGTTGCAAGAGTTAGATATGAGGACCCTGGATCCAGTCTCACTCTGACCCAGTCCTGTTGGCTGTCCTTGGATCATGTCATCCTCCTATCTTATTTGATGGTTATATAAGGGTTATCATACATGATACCCTTTGAACATCCTAAATCAGGGTTCAGTTGATGGAGGGGTGTGTTTGTGTGAGAGACAGACAGACAGACAGACAGACAGACAGAGATGGGAGGAGGGGGAGAGAGAGAGAGAGAGAATAAGTAAGTTTGGGTGCCAAACTTTACAGAAGCCTAAGCCTTTTTTATTTCTGCATTGATTTATGCAGAATTTATGCTGCCGCTTTCTTGAACTACAGCCATCAGCACACTGAACACATAATTCCAAAGAATCCCCAATCACCTGCATGAGTTTCTAATGAAGTGTAGAGATCTGAAGTAGGAAGGGAAAAAAAGGAAGACAAGGAAGTCCTACTCTACAAAGGGAACTCCAATTGCAATCCAAGCCTGTACACATATCGTGAAGTTATGTATCTCTTCAAGCAAAGGAAGCTCTTTGGTTGAACAGAGAATGAAAGGAGCAACTCCTTGCTATCATTTTAAGTATCCTTCTAATCCATTGATTATAAAAGGGCCATATGGCCTGAATAAGGTGTGAAAGTTTTTATATACTGTACAATAGAGCAGATGCACCTGCTTTGATATATACAATATATAAAGCCTTTGCTTTTTCCTAGAAATTGAGAGCCCCCTCTCTTCTTGTATATAAACACCTCATTCAAACATCAGATGAATCAAATGTTAAAATCATAATCCCTCTAGTAGGCTTAACAAGAGTTGTGGCAAAGGAGAATGAATGCCATGCTAGAATGTGTCAAAGATGACCTATACACTACATTTCACTTAAGGAATCATCAATAAGATGTATTTGCTCCTTATGCATTTACATCAAGAAAATTCAATTATAAGTACTCTCCTTTTATATTCTAATGGAGAATGCTCCTTATTTAAAGTTATGAAAAAGAAAATCTGTCCAACATAGCCTTGTTTTATTTCAAAAGAGGAACTTCTGCAAAGATGGATAACTAAAAAGAGGATAGAAAAAGGAAGCAAAGTCTTCCTAGATTACTAGGAAGTAATCTCCATGGTCATGTGGCCAGCATGACTAAACGCCAAAGGTGCATGGAATGCTGTTACCTTCCCACCAAAGGTGGTTCCTATTTTTCTACTTGCGTTTTTACATGCTTTCGAACTGCTAGGTTGGCCGAAGTTGGGACAAGTAACCGGAGCTCACTCCATTACGTGGCACTAGGGATTCAAACCGCCAAACTGCCGACCTTTCTGATTGACAAGCTTAGCGTTTTAGCCACTGAGCCACTCTGTCCTCCTAGATTACTTAAGAATTGCTTAAAACTGTGACAATAGAAATTCAGTTTAAAATGTTCTGCAGGCCAGAAAAGACATTAAGTATAGTTAACAAGTAGTTTCAGGAAAGTTTTTTGCGGGGGGGAATTGTTCAGAAAATAGAATTATTCCCAGACAAGAAGTACTAAAAGAAATGTAAACATGCTGTGAGACAATGAGGCAGGTGTGTGGTGTTCAGGTGTGATATTAATAATGTTAAGACCAACTGGTAAACATTTATTTCAGAATGTCACAAATAAGCAGTTGGCAAGATATAGTATTTAAAAGAAAAATAGGCTAGCAAAGAAGGTGAATTAATTCTTTGCTTCTGTCTTTATTGTAGAATAAAAATATAAAGTAAATATACCTGTCTTAACTAATGTTTTTAGGAGGAGTGTCTGAGGAAGCAAAGCAAACACTTAGGAATAAGGTATATAAAATTCTAAACCAGTGTTTTTCGAACTTGACAACTTTAAGATGTGTAAACTTCAACTCCCAGAATTCCCCAGTATCTGGTTGGAGAATTCTGGGAGCTGAAATCCTTACATCTTAAAGTTGCTGTCAGCATTCCAAATATCATCCCAAACTAAATCAGAGTTCAACGCAAATCTCTTCAAAAAGTTCCAATTTATTAATAGAGACATGTTGGTATTAATAGAGACATGTTGCAAACCCAAATCTGAACTTCCTGGGGTTTCTACCCAGTTGAAAGTTCATGATCTTGCCCCTACACCCACAAGTTCATCACATGGTCCAATCTTCCTCTGCCACGCTGGCATCTCCACCCATCTAGTTCCGGTCAGGTGCGGAGACCTTGGGCTTCTAGAAAGGAATGTTCTATTTTGACAACAACACATTCTACAATTCAACTCCTTATTATTCCCCCTCTCAATTCCCACTAATGAAACAGCATAATAAAGAAAAAGAAGGAGAGAGTGTGGCAGGCCAAAGATTCTGAAAGGAACCACTGCAGGCCTGACGGTTGCCTTGTTTGAAAACACTGGTCTAGGCCATATTCATAGACTGAAATCAATACCAAACTAAAATAGCATCCATCGAAGAGTTCAAATACACAGTGGCTGATGTTTTAAAACAAGAACATGTGATATTTTCCTGATATTAGCATCTGAATAAGAAACCTGGGAAATGATTTAAAAGTCTTTTTAAACTCAAAGCAATTACAAGGTTAGCTTATCAGTTCTAAATAAATTGCAGGCAGGCAAATTTTCACTCAACGTTTTAGAAAAACTCTAAAAATATGTCTGGCAGCAGATTCGGACAGTGAGGAGATTGGGTAGGAACATCAGCCAGTCCTGGAGGGGGAAGGCTTTGTTGAGGGCTCTGTGTCAGAGGCAAAGAGGGTGGCAGATCCGTATGCCAATTATCAGCTGTTGTCAGAGACAGACCGCAGTGAGGCAGACAAACAGCTGGAGCCTGTTCCTAGTGTGTGCATGTACAGAATTGCCAGATGAAGGGAACAACTAAAGAGCAGGGGTCAACTTGGGAGTAAGGCCAAATGATGAATAGCCCCTCCCACAGAAAACAAAAGAGGAGCGAATGGGGAGTGGAGTTTGCAGGAGACAATTAGTTTGCTTAATTGGTTCGTGACTCTCCGAGATTCCTTGCCAGGTTTTGCAGATATCGGCCTGGCAGCTCTCCAAGCCAGATAAGGTCTGTGACTGTAAATCGTTTCTTGAAAGACTTTGCTGGATGTGAATGAGCAGAATTCACAGTAAATTAATNCTTGCCAAGTTTTGCAGATATTGGCCTGTCAGCTCTCCAAGCCAGATAAGGTCTGTGACTGTAAATCGTTTCTTGAAAGACTTTGTTGGATGTGAATGAGCAGAATTCACAGTAAATTAATAAAAGGGGTTTTTGTCGGGACCAGGAGTTTGCTTCATATTCTTGGGAAGCCTAGGCCAGAGCCAATATATGCAGAGGATTTCTTTCATTTGGAGGCAAGGACAGAGAGGGTAAGTAGTGGTCTGTCAGGAATTCTGTTCTTGAGTCTTGCATTGAGCAGAGAATTAGTTGATCTTTACCTTATAATTGGGAAATGCTGGTAATGTAAGCAGTTTTGTTATATCTGACCATGCTCTTCAGTTTGAGCATTCAAGGCAACTTTTAAAATGAAAAGAATTCAGAGACATGAATTGAAACAAATGCATATACAGGTAGTTCTCAACTTATAACTACAATGGAGCCCAAAATTTATGTTGCTAAGTGAGAAATTTGTTAAGCAAATTTTGCCCCATTTTATGACTTTTCTTGCAACATGTGTTAAGTGAATCACTGCAATTGTTAAATTAGTAATATGGTGTTAAGCGAATCTGGTTTCCTCATTGACTTTGCTTGTCAGAAGGTTGCAAAAGGAGATCACATGATTCCGGGACATTGTACCTGTCATAAGTGTGAGTCAGTTGTCAAGCTTCCAGATGTAAATCACATGACCATGGAGATGCTACTTGTTTCAGTAACGTTGTAATATTGAATGGTCACTAAGTGAACTGTTGTAAGTTGAGGACTACCTGCATTAAAATAAACACCATGCATTTTGAGGCTGAAACAAGAAAGTATCCCAACTTTACATGGAAGTTTTATGAGCTGATAGCGACCGTACTGAAGGATTCTTAAGGTTGCGGTGGCCAAATTGACCTCATGTGTGGTGCCTGTTGAGTCAAAAAAAGCGTCTATGAATTAGTGATTCCGAAAATTTTGGATTGTGCAGAAATGGACAAGTTGACACTAAAATTAAAGGACAAAGAAGAGTCTGAATATTATGAAATTTGGGATAATTGGTACAAATGGTTGCAAAACAGGAATAAAATTAATTCAGCCGAGAAACAATAGAGAAATGTATAGAACTGTAGATAAATGTATATAAATATAGACACAAAATAAGATTGATTTGTACAGGTCTGATGACATAACAATGTTGATGTAATGATTGTAAGATGTTATGGAAGGGAAAAAAACAATAAAAAACCTGCTGCAAAAAAGCATCTGTGTTGGGAACGATTAGGAACAGAATCAAAACTAAAACTACTGCCAACTTTCCTGTATGTGATCACAGAATAGTTTTCACAGTTCTAATCACTGCATTTGAGAAAGGATATTTAGAGGTGGAAAAGATGCAGAAAAGAGCAACCCCAAATGACTAAGAAATAAAGCAAAACTCAGAGCTCTGCTGCTTTTAGATGTTTTGGGATTACAGTTGCCATATTCTTAAACCACTAGCTGTGCTGACAAGGATTGATGTGGAGTTGTAAACCCAAATGCCTCCAGGCATCAGATTGTCCATGCTTGCTGCAGGCTAAAAAAATTTAATGTGTATTTAGGCTTATTGCTAGATGCTATATATAAGCCATACAGTAACAATCTAACATAGTTTACTGTAAGCCCCCTGCTTACAGTACTTGTTATCTTCCCTGTTTAAATGTTAAAGATTAACCTCTTCTCGCATATAAAAAAGGAAAGGGATTGAATGCAACGTATTTTCCAACAAGACTAAGGCCAGGCTTCATTGATATCACTGTTTGGAAATATCTTTTTTTGAAAAAATGGTAGCCAAGTTTGCCCACCCTCCTCATCTAAGGTCTTCATTGTGCTATAGATGCTGTTTCTAGTACATTAACTCTCACAAGATCCATAATTTGTCTCCATGGCCATTGCCTTATATGACTTTCAAGAGAAACAAAGCAATGTTAGAAGATTCTAACCATATACTGCCTTTGAGAAAGCAAACTTATGACAAATTGTGTCAAATTGTGGCAGAATACAAAGTGCAAAGGATTCTGTTTTAATACTCCTTCCCATTGGGGTCCTTCTCCCCCCCCCCACAAGCACCCTATCAGCACCCCGTGATCTCATTGGGCTGTTTAGAGTTCTAGGATTTCCTTCTGAAACTTGCTACATCCTCCAAATATGGAATTTAACAGAACAACAGAGTCGGAGGAGACCTTGGAGGTCTTCTAGTCCAACCCTCTGCTCAAGCAGGAAAACCCTATACCGTTTCAGACAAATGGCTGTCCAGTCTCTTAAAAGCCTCCAGTGATGGACACCCACAACCTCTGAAGGCAAGACTCTTTATTTAAATTTGTATGTGACCCCCTCACAGTCATGGGACTCTGGAGTTCCTGGAAATGTGCTTATAGCTCTTGTACATGGGGTTGAAAGGAGAGGAGATTTTTTTGGGCTACCCTAATCCAAAGGGACTAGGTTGCCCTTAGTTAAAGGGTGGCTCAGTGGCTAAGACGCTGAGCTTGTCGATCGAAAGGTCGGCGGTTTGAATCCCTAGTGCCATGTAATGGGTGAGCTCCAGTTACTTGTCCCATCTTCTGCCAACCTAGCAATTCGAAAGCATGTAAAAATGCAAGTAGAAAAATAGGAACCACCTTTGGTGGGAATTTAACAGTGTTGTGTGTGCCTTCGGCATTTAGTCAGGCCAGCCACATGATGACAGAGACTCTTCAGACAGCGCTGGCTCTTCGGCTTTGAAACGGAGATGAACAACGCTTCCTAGAGTCAGGAACAACTAGCACATATGTGCAAGGGGAACCTTTACCTTTAAGCCAGGGGTGTCAAACTGGCAGCTTAATGGTCAGATGTGTCACACATAGGCCACACCCACCTCAGCTCCGCAAATGGGAAAAATGTCACGAAACATCACATGATGGCCATGTGACACTGAGAGTTTGACACCTATGCCCTAAACAATGGTATTTGCACCTTGAATTTCCCTGGAATTATAGCTAAATGGGACTTCCATTTTCAAAGGAAATATATTCCTGAGAAGACTGTTGACTTCACCTTTCTGGGAGAATCAAGATGTGCACTTTTTGACAGCCTGATTAATTTTGAGCCTTTCCTATCAGAAACTTTTATCTTGTTTCCGAATGACTGAAACTCGTAAGATGTTTTCTGGTTGAAATTTGAAACGAACAGTTTCTACAAGGACACTTTGCCTCAATACAACTCCCAGCAACAATAACTTTACGAAAATTGACTCTTGACTTAGAAAGCAAAATTGGAGCTGATAATGGCAGGGGAAGGAGATAGGGCAGCCCAGAAGATTTGTCAAAAGTCTTTTAAAGTATATTATTTTGAAGGTTGACTCCCGGAATCAATAGTAGCACCTTGGGTCAATAGAAGATGAAATTATGACTATTGAATCCTTCATGACCATTATGTGCATTTCCCACAGCCAATTCAATGATACTTTTACTGGTTTATTGGCATTTTCATTTGACAAGCGTCTCATGGCTACTGCATTTTGTTGTGTTTGTTTTAGAAAGGGGCTCTTAAGTACTTTTTTGTCCATCCACTCTGTCACACTGTTTGTTGGCTTTGCCCAACCTTCCATCACTGGGACAGAGATACCTTTTGAAACAGTATAGACAGAATTATCCAGGAGACATTTGTCAGCATTTAAGAACCACATATACTGGAAAGGTGTATATAGGCAGGAGGCTAGTTGTTGCTGGCAGCTGCAATATACAACTACAGAGCTGGCAGCAGATTCAGACAGTGAGGAGGTTGGGTAGGAACCTGGGCCAGTCCTGGAGTCTGGGGCAGGCTCTGATGAGGGCTCTGTGTCGGAGGCAGAGCCGTATGCCAATTATCAGCTGTTGTCAGAGGCAGACAGCAGTGAGGCAGACAAACAGCTGGAGCCTGTTCCCAGTGTGTACATACACAGAGTTGTCAGACAAAGGGAACAGCTAAAGA